TGATATTGTACACAAAACCATTTACACATATATAAATAAACTAATTTGCAGAAACACGCAATGGCTTTTTCTTACAATTAATGCTTAGTTTTTCAATAAAATACCTAGGCGATGATATTATTGCTTTTTCCTTGCTCACAGTATGGTTTTTAGGGCTTCTTGACATAAATAGCCGCACTTTTATAGGAAATTCAACTAGTGTTCCATCCCCCAAGCTATCTAAAAGTCTGTCCCAATCAATTGGAAGGGAGCAGTTGGAAAAATCCTGTTTTTCCAACAGTACATTTCCAAAGTCTTGGCTTTTTTTCCCCTTTCCCCTGAAAAGATACTGGAAAACATCATGCCTGAATGGAATGATTGTTGGAGATAAACTCTTTGAGGCAAGGTTTTCCAAAATTGCAGCATGCAAGGCATCCACACTTGAACTAATTAACTCCTGGGTAGGCTTTGGGTTTAAATATGCTCTAGAAAGGGAAAAAATCAATAAAGACAATTTATTTTTGGTCAGATAGAGATAGATACCTGTACAGTTGAAAAATGTACTTGAATTTTATATACAAAAATGCCAAAGATTAACCATCAAACAGGGAAATTGAATCACTAAATATTGCCTATGACAATAAGACAACAATCGGTTTATTTAAAAAATTAGAATTTTCAAAATATTTGCTTTCACGGGTTTTAAGATTGTAACATCGGAACTTGTGACTAAATTATTTGATCAAATCGTAGAATCTCAGAAATGCTACTGTCAAGTTCCATATTAATGCCCAATGAGAGAACTTATCTTAATCAAAACACCGTTCTCACTTCAGTGCCAACGAATTAAGGTTTTCTTCTGGTTCCCAAGTGTTGGAGAGGGAGCCGTAGCCCTTCCACTTCACAAGATATTCAACCTAAGGCGTAATTGAGATATATTTTAGCCTGATTATTGACTGACTCCATTTGAGTACATCAGATCGGACAAACAAAACGAAGCAACTTACCTTGCCTTTGCGGTTTCTCTTTGAAATCACACGTTCCACCTCATAATATGGTCCCTTGGCTGATGATTTCAGCCTCTTTTGATCATTAAAAAAATCGGCAGTGCTCAAATTATTCAATTCGCGGTAAAAGGAACACGTCTTCTTAGCCGCCATTTTTAGATCGAGGCAACCTTAGCAGCTATTCAACATTCGCATAAAATGAGCCTACGGTCGGAACCGCTGGCTGTCCTTG